TGTCGAAGCAGCGGCGTGCGAACCGTTTCCTGCGCGACGCGTGAAAACCTCAGCTTTCCCTTTTGGCGTTGTAATTGTTTTTGTTGGCGCGGCATGTCAGGCCCTCAAGGCTTGAACCCCGCCGCCTTCGATGTTGGCGAAGTGATGGCCACCGCCAACATGCTCGCAAGTTTCGCGGCAGCTATCATCACGCACGACACCTGGTAAGTATGTGGGGTGCCTCGGTAGCGGAATCTTCCCTGCCACATCGCACCCGCGTTTCTCCCCTTCCTCACACCCGCCCTGGCAGACGTGGCACTTTTTCGACGCCACAGGGGGTGCGCTGGGGGTGCTCTCCATGTCCGTTTCGGGCTCGCAAAGCGTGGCAGGCGCTGCATTTCCTCGACACCAAACGGAGTGTGTTCGGGGGGGGCTATCCGTTTCGGGCTCGCAAAGCGTGGCAGGCGTGGCACGTCCTTCCACGTCGCACCCGCGTCTCCTCCCTCGCTCCTCACGTTTCCCTTCCCCCGTCTCCTCCTCCTCCTCCTCCTCTTCTTTCCTCCCTTCACCCACGCGCAACACATGCATGGCACATCCATGAGACACGCGCCAGCAACTTGGGCACCCACATGAGACACACGTCCAGATACAGCCGCACACGCATCAGACACATGACGCGCATATTGCAGACCACTCAACACACGCGCGCAAGATCCGCAAGGCGTGGCAAGCGTGGCACTCTCTCGACACTATAATGGGATGCGCGTGGGGTGGTCCCTCGCCGCGGCCTCTATCCGTCTCAGGGTCGCAAGGCGTGGCAAGCGTGGCACTTTCTCGGCACCACACGGGTGCGCAGGGGGTGATCCTTCACCGTTGTCTCTATCCGTCGCAGGGTCGCAAGGCGTGGCAGGCGTGGCACTTTCTCGACACCACAAGGGGTGCGCAGAGGGTGGTCCCACACTGTGTTTTCTATCCGTTTCAGGGTCGCAGCGTGGCAGGCGTGGAAGTATCAGGCGGGAGACGTTGGTGTTGTAGTTCGGGGGCCAACAGCGCATTCTGAGCAGGAAGACTCCCCCTTGTTTTGTTGTTTACATTAAAAAAATGCGAGCCCCAGAGGGGGCACGTCGTTTCAAAAAACACAAGGTGCACCGAAGGAGGGGGATCAACACTTCCTTTCTAGAAACCAGAATTCAACGGGTCCCATCTGATATCTCTTCGCATTGCATTCTCCGAATAGGTTTGCCCTATAGGGGTTCGAACTCAAACCCTACTAATTGGTCCGTTCCCCCTAATTCCCATGCCCCCCCTAAGTTTCCAATGCCCCCCCCCCCCTTTGCCAATGCCCCCCCCCCTCATTTCCAATGGCACCCCCCAGCTATTTCCAATGGCGAGTCCTATGGATTCCGATGGATTCCTATGAGTCGTTTGCCAGTGGTTGCTTTTGCGTGTTCTTGCGTGCTTGCTATCGCTTGCTCGAGCTTGATTGCCCTTGCTTGCTTGCACTTGAGCGTTGGTTATTGCTTGCTTGTTATTGTTCGCTCGCTTGTGTGCTTGCTTCCGTTTGCTTGCTTGCGCTTGTTTGGTGTTGTTCCTCCCGTCCTCCTCCCATCCTGATCCCGTCCTCCTTTCGTCCTCCTCGTCCTCTTCCTGTCCTCGTACCTATTTGGAGCCAATTCTGGCTGATATTCAAAATCGTCCTCTCGCGCAGGAAGTCCATACATCTTATCCAGCTTCTCGCGGCAAGTCCCGCCACAGTGCCAGCCCGGCATTCTGGGTTGCAATTGTTCGAGGGGGCACAGGAGGCAGTGACATGTGACACGTCGTGTCCCCATGCTTGGGGGAGCCGTGATGAGGATGAGGATGAGGATGAGGATGAGGATGGTGGGGGGGGTGGTAATGGTGATGGAGATGATGTTGGTGATTTTGATGCTGGATGTCGATGATGATGCTGATGCTGATGCTGATGCTGATGCTGATGCTGCTGATGCTGCTGATGATCCTGATGATGATGATGATGATGATGATGATGATGATGATGATGATGATGATGATGATGATGATGATGATGATGATGATGATGATGATGATGGTGATGATGGTGATGATGATGATGATGACGGTGATGGTGATGGTGGTGGTGGTGGTGGTGGTGGAGGTGATGGCGATGGTGATGGTGATGGTGATGGTGGTGGTGGTGGTGGTGAGAAGGAGGAGGAGGAGGAGGAGGAGGAGCAGGAGGAGCAGGAGGAGCAGGAGGAAGAGGAGGAAGAGGAAGGCCGTCACATGTGACGCCTTTCGTCTTCATTAGTTGAGGAGCCCTATGGAACTCGTTTGGACCATCTTGTGTTGTGGCTGTCTTGGCCTCCTGTGAGGCAGTCTTGGGGCCTTCGGGGGCCCTCTTGGGCAATGTTGGTGCCCTCTGATGCTGGTTTGGGCTGCGTTCGGGTCGTTTTGGAAGCATCTTTGGCTTCGGGAGCACGCACCTGTCGCGTGTTACAAGGGGGTGTGGCCTCGGCTCGGGTGCGCGAGATTGTTGTATGTTACAAGAGATTGTGGCCTTGAGAGCGCGAGTAGATTTCATTTGTTCGTGGATTGTGGCCTCGAAAGAGAGGGGGGGGGGGGGCGATGCATTCGGGGCAGCGTGATGAGAGTAGGGGGCCTTAGACGGTTACAAAACCCTACCACGCAGCACTTGGCATGCTAGCGAGCCCCAACGTGCCAGAGAGCATTCGAGGGGAAGCTCTCTCCTCTCTCTGTATGTATATATATATATATATCTTTCTTCCCCACTGCACATATATATATATATATGTAAATAAATGTAAATATGTATATATATGTATATATGCACGTGTGTAAATGTCTCTCTCTCTCTCTCTTTATCTCTCTTTCCTCTCTCTCCTTTTTTTTGTCTCTCTCTCTCTCTCTGTTTGTTCTCTCCCTCTCTCTCTCAGGCTTCCCTGGCAATTTGTTCAGGCGCCGCGCCCTCGACCCCTAGGAAGGGCGCTGTTGCACGGGGCCCCCTTGCAACTTCCTCAGGACTCGTGCTCTCGCCCGCGTCTTGGTCGCTGCCACGCCCCGCCGGACCCGCCCCTCCGGGCCAGCCCGCCCCTGGCCCGCCCGGTTGGGCCCGCCCGCCCGGCCAGCCCGGTAGAGTCCGCCCGTCCGACCCGCCCGTCAGGGTCCGCTCACGAGGCTGGGCCCACGGCGGGGTTCCCCCCACGAGCTGGCATGGAAAAAAGACCCCTCCAAAGGGAGTGCGCGCATAGACTTGCACGGCGGGTGCGAGGGAGAGGGGGGGAAGCACGCCTCCCGGATCAAATGGTCACGAGATGATTGTTATTGTTGTCGTTGTTGCCGTCCCGCGACCCACCCGCCACCCACCCGCCCGCGATTCATTGTCGATTCATCCGCGACCCATTTGCGACCCACCCCCGCGACCCACGCACATTGGTTTAATTGTCGCCGCTGCAGGCTGATTGCACAAGAACGTATGAGTTTGCGTCACAACCCGCTGAAGACCCGCCCCCTGACCCACCCATTATGCTTTTCATAAGGATCGGCGGCTTCGACGGGCTGATTGCTTAAAACATGTCGGCGCTTGCGGCGAGCTTCTCAGCATCGACACTTGAGCCCCGCAGCCCTTGCAAGGCAGCTCTGGAGCCCCCTCACTCTTGTATGCAACTGTTAGGTTCAGGCGCATTCAAATACATCCGTGTATACATGTACACATGTGTAATCGTTTTACGCATATATATATATATATGAATTAAAATGCACTTACGTGCACATATCACCCAGCAAAGCGTCCGAATAGCAGCAACGGTAGAGGCGGTTCGAGTAGTAGAAGGTTTGCTAGTGAAAATGTGCATACCCAGGGATTCTTAGGAACGCAGTGCAGTAGGATGTTCACCTTTGCGTCAGTAGCCTTGAGACAGACAAGATGCGGCCGGGATAGGGGTGAGAGCACGGCCCTGTGCACCTTGTTATGTTTTACCAGGGATCGGGGCCGTCCGGACCAAAATGTAGCCGGCATTGCGGCGAGAGTAGGATTCCTGCATAAAGTGTGAGGAAGTCTCAGGCGAAACGATTGCCGGACCCAGCGTCTTTGGGCACCCTGTCCCCCTTGTGGGACTCTTCTGTGGTTTTTCCCCTTACTATATAGAAAACTTAGCGAAACGCGACTCGCTCTCCGCGCGCGCGCGTGCTCAGTTTCTCGCACGCTTCAGACCTAACCTGCAAACGCGTTCCCCTCCAAGCATCCGTCCGTCCACCAATACAATCATATATCTAACCGTGCATACAAATATCCAGGTATGCATCCACGCATGCACGCAGGCAGTTCGAAAACCACACGAAGAGGTGGCAGCTGACAATGCAGTAAACGCCACGCATATGATTTGTTTGCCTTCTCGGGGGCGTCGTGGGCCCTCTCGATAGGTTAGTGGGGCGCTCTTTGGATGTCTTGGAGGCATCCTTGGGCCATCTCGGGCCGTTCTGGGTTCTTGTGTCATATTGCGGGGCACAATACGGGAATACTGAGGCAACCTATAACAAACCTTCTTGCTTGGTGTCCTGTTTTGACGCGCCCCCCTAGTGCACATCACAGGGGAGACAGGACTGGAGAGACAGATGACCAGAAAGAAGAGAGGACGAAACAGAGAGACACAGACAGGCACATGAGGCAATAGTATTCAATAGACGTAAGCATTCGCCAAGAGGATGGCCGGGGTCACGACGGCGACGACGACGGCGACGGCAACGGCGACGGCGACGGTGCCGACGGCCTCGAAAACGACGCCGACGACGACTGCGGCGACGGCGACGACGGCGGCGACGGCGACGGCGGCGGCGAGGGCCGCGGCGGCGGCAGCGGAGGCGACGGCGGGCGGCGACGACTGCGGCGGCGGCGCCGTCGTTGGCATCAGGGGCCCTGCTGTAGACGGGTCCTGGGCCCCAAGGCCGCATCTGCACCTGGGCGGCGGCTGTGGAGATGACGGCGACAGGAGCTTCCCCCCGAGGCGGTCGCCAAGAGGCGGGCCGAGGAGCGCAGGAAGAGGCGGCTGGGGCTCGTGGCGGCGAAGGGCCGCCGGGGCGGCTAGCCCTCCGCCGCCTGGGTGGGCCGCGCCTCCTCGGCCGTCGCCGTCGTCGTCGGTGTCGCGCCACCAATCTAGGCCTCCGAGATGGGGTCCGAGCAGATGGGGTCGGAGGATCGCGCCGCATCGCCGATGCATCGGCGATGCGGCTCGATGTGGAGCCCGATTCGCTTCACGTCGACATCGCCGATGCATCGCCGACGTCGACGATGCATCGCCGGTGCATCACCGATGCATCGCCGATGTACGCCGAAGTATTGGCAATGCGGCGCGATCCTCCGACCCCATCTAGGAGGCCTCAGGCCTCTAACCAAGGTCGCCGTCGTCGCCGTCGTCGTCGTCGGCGGCAGTCGTCGACGTCGACACAAGCGGATCCTGAGGCTTGGGCATGGTTTGGGGTGTCTGAGGGTCTTGCCCCCGCCGCCGCCGCCACCGCCGCGGGGCCTGGTGGCGCAGAAGGGCCCCAGGAGCGACCCGCCTGCAGCCTCGGTGGGCCACGCCCCTCCTCGACGTCGGCGACGTCGACGTATTCTAGCTGCATTGCTGACGAAGGAAAGAACTGCATGAGCATGAACCTTCGGAGATCTCGGCGGATTTGATGGATCCGCGATGGACCTCCCTGGCGGCGCCTCTGGCGCCGCCCCCGGCGCGCTCCGCGCGCCCAGCGCCGTGCCAAGAGGTTCGCGCGGACCTCCGGAAGTCGCGCGGGGAGGACGGCAGGCAGCGGGAGGAGGAGCGGCCGCAGCAGTGGGAGGATGGGGAGGGTGCGGAGCATGGAGACGGGGGGGACCCAGAGATCCGACGCTCCGGAAGAATAGGAGCGGGCGGACGTTGGCAGTTTTCGGCCTCGGGGGGCCCTGGCCGGGCCTCGGGAACGTCAGAAAACGGCTCAGGAACGGCCTCAGGGTTATGCTGTTCCAACCTACTTCAGCTTAGACCACCAGAAAGAATTTCGAGTGCCAAGAAAGTACCGAAATTTGATGGTTTTCATGTGTCGGGCCCTGGGAGACGATATTCGTTCGACATGTCGCTAGCGTGTCGGGTAGACATTGTCTGGGTGCTCGAAACTATCTCTGGGATATGGCCCTTAAGTGCGATGGGGACAACATAAGCCCAGGAAGAGGTCCGGACCTCTGGAGCGCACGCATCGAAAAAATTGAAGCAGCCGGATGTCTGGGGAGCGGGGATGAGGAGCGGAGGAGGGGGAGGGGGGGCTGGGCGAAGGAGGCTGATGGGAAGGGGGAAGGGGGAGCGTCAGGAGAGGGAGGGAGCGAGGGAATTGAGCGATGGAGACGAGGGAGCGAGGGAGGCTGATGGGAGGGGGAGGGGGAGGATCAAGGGAGGGAGGGAGCGAGGGGATGGAGCGATAGAGACGAGGGAGCGAGGGAGGGGAAGGCGGAAAAAGAAGTAGGAGGGTTGCCATGGAATCGGAGGCGAGCGAGGGGGGCGAGTGAGAAGGAGAGGGCCCTATCATAAGGCGGCGGGGCTTCTCCAAAGCCCTCGCGCCTTCTGAGAGGTGTTCTCTGCCTTCGGGGAAGGCTTAGAAATCCTCTCAGCAGGTCAGGGGACTTCCGAGCCTTCTGAGAAGGCCTTCTCCTTCTCATGTCTGCCCCAGGCTCGACGCCGAGATGAAGGCAGGGGAGCGAGGGAGGGTGAGGCGGAAAGAGAATTGGGAGGATTGTCATGAAAGGGAAGACCAAAGGAGGCGAGAAGAGGAGGTGTTGCAATGAACGTTGTACGCACAGCGTGTCACATGTAATTCAGGCTGCCTGCACTCAGGTTCGAGTTGATCTGCATGTCTGGCCCCTTGCATGCCTGCGCTCAGGCTTGAGTTGACCTTGCAGGTCCTGCTGTCGCCAAAGCCCGCCCATGGCAGTGGTTACCCACCGCCGGCCCCAGGTGCGAGCAGGTGGCTGGTGTCCAAATCGACCTCATGTTGGTCGACCTTGACTGGGAGAAGCGTTGTTTGAAGGGCTGCCAGGAAGCCTCCTCACGAGGAACTCCGCGACGGACTGGGATAGACGGAGGCGCGCAGATCCTTCGGCTCAGCGATCGGCTTGTTGGTCCTCGTTTCCTCGTCCCGCCCTTTCCCTTCGCGTTCGCGGTGTGGCCTCGACCTCCAGACGTCGCCGCAGTCTTGCCAGCCGCGGACCCAGACATCCGCCTGCTCTGATGTTTCGAGGCGTGGGCCTCAGAGGTCCCTCGGGCCGGTGTCTCGTCGTGAGTCGTTGTTTGACGCTCCCGAGGCCCGGCGAGGGCCCCCAGGGGTCGAAATCGGCCAAAAACCGCCAGCTCCACTTTTTTCTGGAGCGGCGGATCTCCGGGGGGAGGGGTCCGCCGGCTCGGCGGCACGCAGGCGAGCGCCAGCCTCCTCCTCCCCCTCCCCCTCCTCCTCCTCCCCCCCCTTCCCCTCCTCCTCCTCCCCCGCCTCCCCCCCCCTCCTCCCTCCCCCTCCCCCTCCCCCTCCTCCTCTCCTCCTCCCTCCTCCTCTCCTCCTCCTCCTCCTCCTCCTCCTCCTCCTCCTCCTCCTCCTCCTCCTCCTCCTCCTCCTCCTCCTCCTCCTCCTCCTCCCCCTTTTCTTAGCCAGGCCGCCAGCGCTCTCCCGCTCGTGGCGTCAGGGCGCGGGCGGACCAGCTGACGCCTCATCGCTCGCACGAGCGGGAGGCATTCGAGGGCCGTGCACGCCCGCGCTGCACAAGGAAGGCCACCTCCTCAACACCCTAGAAAGCCATAGAAATATAGGCAGGGGTCGAGGAGACGAGAAACAGTAGCAGCACACACGTCCTGGGCTGAGCTCCTCCAACAACAGTCCCCACTGACCCATCTCCATCAGACCCAGGACCCCATTCAGCACCAGGACGTGTCTCGATCCCGACGGAGGGTGTCAAAGCGGACAGGACAGCAGCAGACCAGCAGCCAGGTCCTCGAGGGGGGCACTGGGTGTACCCCAGGAGTAAGCCAGCGCAGACCTCGGACCCCAGGCCGCTGCCCAGGAGGACGTCGGGCTCTGTAGCCTGGCCCTCCTCCCACATCCAGGCTCCCACCCTTGTCCTTAGACACTTCCCGCAGCCGTGACCGTGATGCTAGGTGCCATCAGGGCTGCCGCTACAGCGGCTGCCAACTCAAGTGTCCACGGTGTCGATGGCGGTGGCCTTCCTGCGGGTGGACTCTGCGTGAACCTGAAATTGAAATCAACTGAACACTGGACAGCAAGTACTGACTGCGCAATACCCCCAGTGATGCATGCCCGGGGTACATGATGAAGCAAAAAACGTCGTGACTGAATGAGATGATCCAGCTCAGGTAGTACTGCAGCCGCCAACTCGAGACGAGTGGTAGGCGCCATCATGTTTGCTGGAACTCCTGCATGATCTGCTTCAGCTAGTATGCGCAGTAGGCCCCGCATCTGCACGGTGTCGCTCAAGACTCTGGTACCAATATGATGCGGTACACCAGGCAAAACCATGGGTGCTGCATTGACCTGATGACCTGCTCCCTCACACGTCGAAATTGACCATGTCGCTGAAGGTGCTGGGCTTGGAGCAGCTGTTGCTCGCGCCTGGTCAGTGTGTCAGCGGTCGAATGCCTCCACATGGCCAAAGCATGAGTTGCCATAAAGCACGATACCTTTCCAAGCATGATTTCACAGATCACCTGTTCCACAACCGAGTCGTCCAGCGTAAATGCAGACGGTGAGCCATCAGGATTGTCACTGTGTGAAGGCTTGATGACTAGGGTCGTCGCCTCTGAGTTCAAGGCTTCGAACCAACTTGGTATATCTCCTGCAAGTCTGTGGTCGGCAGAAAGAAAGTAAACTCGGTGACCTTCGGCGTGGACCAAATCTAAAGGTAAACGAGGAGTTCGAGGCACACTCGCTTGAACCAACGGGGCTATTGGTGGCTGAAATGGTTCGCCTCGTCCTCCCCAGTGCCGAACACCTGCAATAACTTCGCCAATATCTGGCCGTCGAACATTACGAAACACCTTCGTACGATGACAGCCTCGATGTGCCAATGCTCGTTCTGCCTCCAGATCGTCTTGACGTCGACTGGCGGCTTCTTCAGCTTCTAAAAGATCGGTGTTGCTTTCGATCCAGTGGACATAGGTGTTTCCAATCTTCCGTCAGCGCTTGACTAAAAGAGTACGGGTACCAAATATCTGTCCACACGCTCCGTATTGGGTGCCCCAGGCAGCCTTCTGGGCCAGGTCGATGGGATCATGTTCTAGCTGGTGTCGTCGCCAAAGCCCGCCCATGGCAGTGGTTACCCACCGCCGGCCCCAGGTGCGAGCAGGTGGCTGGTGTCCAAATCGACCTCATGTTGGTCGACCTTGACTGGGAGAAGCGTTGTTTGAAGGGCTGCCAGGAAGCCTCCTCACGAGGAACTCCGCGACGGACTGGGATAGACGGAGGCGCGCAGATCCTTCGGCTCAGCGATCGGCTTGTTGGTCCTCGTTTCCTCGTCCCGCCCTTTCCCTTCGCGTTCGCGGTGTGGCCTCGACCTCCAGACGTCGCCGCAGTCTTGCCAGCCGCGGACCCAGACATCCGCCTGCTCTGATGTTTCGAGGCGTGGGCCTCAGAGGTCCCTCGGGCCGGTGTCTCGTCGTGAGTCGTTGTTTGACGCTCCCGAGGCCCGGCGAGGGCCCCCAGGGGTCGAAATCGGCCAAAAACCGCCAGCTCCACTTTTTTCTGGAGCGGCGGATCTCCGGGGGGAGGGGTTCGCCCGCTCGGCGGCACGCAGGCGAGCGCCAGCCTCCTCCTCCCCCTCCCCCTCCCCCTCCCCCTCCCCCTCCTCCTCCTCCTCCTCCTCCTCCTCCTCCTCCTCCTCCTCCTCCTCCTCCTCCTCCTCCTCCTCCTCCTCCTCCTCCTCCTCCTCCTCCTCCTCCTCCTCCTCCTCCCCCTTTTCTTAGCCAGGCCGCCGAGCGCTCTCCCGCTCGTGGCGTCAGGGCGCGGGCGGACCAGCTGACGCCTCATCGCTCGCACGAGCGGGAGGCATTCGAGGGCCGTG